CCCCTTGCCAGCCTCCTCCTTCCTCCCTGGCACAGCCCACACACAGCCTGCTGACAGCATCATGTGGGTCATGGGACCCAGACCTGGAATCCATCTCCTACTAGGTATCTCCGTGGACATCCGAGGGGTGCCTCCAACCCTTATATTCCAAATGGAGGGATGCTCATAAGGTCTTCTCTTCCTAATGCTTCCTGTCTTAGAGAATGACACCACCACCCACCATCCTGGTACCCAACTTAGAAACCCAGGAGTCACCCTAACTTCTCCCCCTCTGCCCCTCCATATCCAATCACCAAGTCCTATCCTTTCCACCTCCACACCATCTTGCTAGTTGCCTTCCCATCCTCCTTGCCACCTCCACCCAGGTTTCGGCCTTAGCCTTGTGGCGTCCAGCCTGGCCCCACCAATCCAACCTTCTCAAGTGCCAAAACTAACTTGCCTATACCTGTACAAACCCTTTCAGGGGTTCTCACTGCCACATTCTCAGCAAGGCTTACAAGCCCTTTCTTTCTCTGGCCCTGCCCTCTTTCCCATCTCTTCCTGCCTGAGGGTCTCTTCTGTAGCACCAAAGGACTTCCATTTTCTTGGATGGTCTATAATCTCTCTTCTGGGCTTTTGTATACACTATCCCTTCTGGAGTGACCTCCTGTAACTTCTGCTGCCTGTTCCCTACTCAACCTTCAGCCACCCATGGGTAGCTAATGACACAGTCATGGTATTTAACAATAGTTATCATATTGAGCCCTATAGCATGTCACATACTGTATCAGGTGCTTTATAAGTCAGTTTATCAAATTTTTACATTGACAATGTCTGAGAATTAAGTATAATTACTCCCATTTTACAAATGGCTAAACCAACATTCAGAGAAGCCGGGTGGGTACATTGCCAGAGAGCACAGCTTGTGGGGCAGAGCTGGTTCCTGGCTCCAGGTCTGTTCACTTCTCTAAGCTGAGCTCTCTCCCCTGAGCTAGGATTCCCCTTGGCTTCAGGTTGTCTCCCCTAGAAGATCTTTCTGACCCTCTCACCTAGCCCTGGCTCCCTCCCATGACTTTCCATTCCCCCACCCCATGTGAACTCACCTCATGGGCTTCACCTCTTCCCATTCTCTGTCCCCAAAGGCAGGGCCTGGGTGTCATGGGAAAAGCACCCAGCTCAGAACCTGCTGAGAATCTGGTGCTTGGTTGGTGCCAACTGTCGAATGTCTGGGCCTCAGGCCTGTGGGCTGTGGGGCTGCAGCTTTTGCTCAGGTTCCAAATGAGAACATGCCTGGAATCAAGAGGCATTTGCAAAAATGCTTCCGCAGCTGATTAGGGCAAGAAGTTTATCTCCAGGACTCTCATTTCTTGACGTAATGGGCTACAGCCTACTATGCCTTAGAGACTTGAGTTCTCATATGGTCTGTTTGAAAACACTTTTCTCAGGTGATGCCTGTGGCTCAGTGAGTAGGGTGCCAGCCCCATATACCTGAAGGGTGGTGGGTTCAAAGCCGGCCCCAGCCAAACTACAACAAAAAAAAAATAGCCAGGTGTTGTGGTGAGCGCCCGTAGTTCCAGCTACTTGGGAGGCCTGAGGCAAGAGAATCGCCTAAGTCCAGGAGTTGGAGGTCACAGCTGTGAGCTGTGTGATACCTTGGCACCTTACAAGGGTGATAGAATCTGTCTCTACAATGATAATAAAAGGTTTTTTTTTTTTTTTAAGAGAAAACATTTTTCTTCCCATAGATATTTGACCACTGATTCTGAAACATTTATTCTGTGTCCTCTGCTGGGAACTCCCAGTGTTTACAACAGGTAGTTTTGGGCTGTATTCTCAGGGTCTTTAATGGCCTCTTCCACCTGCATGTATTTTCTCTCATGTTCTACAGCTGTTCCCTCGTCTTCTCCTTTGCTTATTCTGCTGTCTTAGCACCCTTTGTACGTTAGGCTAGATAGGTATTATTGGGTCTGTTATCCAGTAATCTTGCTTTTGTTGAGGCGGCAAGATGTTCTTGGCTCAGTGCCTGTAGATTAAGCGGCTAAGGCTCCAGCCACATACACCAGAGTTGGTGGGTTTGAATCCAGCCTGGGCCCGCCAAACAACAACGACAGCTACAACCAAAAACAAATCGGGCGTTGTGGCACCAGGTGCCTGTAATCCCAGCTACTTGGGAGGCTGAGATAAGAGAATTGCTTAAGCCCAAGAGTTTGAGGTTGCTGTGAGCTGTGACACCACATCGCTCTACCCAGGGTGATAGCTTGAGACTGTCTCAAAAAAAAAAAGTTCTATTTAATCCTCTTGAAAGTAGATTGCAGTCACAGTCTACCTTTTGTTATTTCTTGGAAAGCACGCATTGCTCATCTCTGAATTCTTAAAATTTGTTGTTCTTTATGTAATACAACTTTTTACTTGGTTTTAGATAACTTGGTTTCCTGTTTATTGATACTTCCTTGAGTAGAATTTTGCTGCTCTTTTGATAATTTTCTTTATTTAGAGTTTATGTAAATATTTTAATGGCACGGTGTCATTACTGGCACTACCACCAGCTTGAGGCCCTTCATATTTGAGAGGCCACTGGGGGAGGTGCACCAAGGAAATAATTATATATATAAACATACCACGTGGTCTGCAGTGGTACTAAAGATGCAAGCTGAGGCCAGGTCCTTTGGGGCCCTGGGACAAAATTAAAATATTGTACTTTATCCTGAGAGCTATATTAAATGGGGGAATATTGGGGAGTATTACAGGGAAACGGTATCATCCAATTTGGTTTTTAAAAAGATTATCTGGGTAAGGAGACTGACTTTGGTGAGCTGGGCAGGGTGATCAAGTTCAGAGATTAAGGGGTGTAGAATCCAAGTGTTTCAAATAAAGATACCTGTTGAAAATGCTCTAAAGAACATAAGTCTTCCCGTAGGATCACTTTGGTGCAATCTGGGTCCCATCCATAGTCCTGCAGGCTAAGCTGTGCCCTAAGCTCAGCTTGTAGATTCCCACCAATGAAGACAATGTTTGTCCTTTGGCTATGTGAGTCTTAAGGTATGGAAGAAACAGGGCTATATTTGGATAGGGCACAGATATTGGCATCAGATGCACTTGGGCATGAGTCTAGGTTTTGTCACTTCTAGCTGATGGTCTTGAGCAAGCCATTTCATCTTTCTGAAGTGTTTCGCTTCCCTGCTGTGGGCCTCCTACAGCATGGCCCGATACATGGGGAGAGGTGTCTATGTCAGTGATTAAGGCTTACTTGGTTGTCTATGGGAACAAACCCCCTAGAGTTGTGTAGTGCACAGCCTGCACAACTGTACAATGTGGATTGCTAATAATAGTGACAAAGAGAAGCAGGTTTGAGGATAGTGAGAGGAGAGAATCTAGACTCAGCAGGAGTCAGGATGTGACCAGGAAAATAGTGGGAAGTTTTATAGGAAGTTGAGAGGTCAGTATTAGTTGTGTTAAGACTTTGGTCCTGCCAGATAGCTACCCAGAGCTATACAGTAGCCAAAACTCATAAAGGAGGCTGAGCGAGGCATGGTTTTGGAGATCATTGGTATTAAGGTCATAGTTGAGGCCTGGTGGCTCCACAAGGCCTCGGGCTGTAGAGAAGGGTGAGTTGATTCTCTTGGGGTTGTGTTTAAAGGCCACAAAAGGGCCCACAAAAGGGGGCAGAAGGCTTCAGGGTCATGGGATAATGGAATGTTTCTGGCTATGCAGCCCAGGAACGGTTTCCAAGGTTTCAGAGAGATCAGTGAGGGTGAGGATCCTCGGCTTAGAAGACAGCTCTTTCTGGAGAAACAAGGGGATAGGCAAGCGAGTGGTGTAGACATTAAAGCCAGGGGATTGTCTACACTGACAAAAGTGTGGTGGTGAGGAGTGGGAAAGGTGTGAGCATGAGGAAGAGTAGGCTCAGACCAAGGTGGGCCTGAGAGCACGTGAGGGGGAGAAACTGCAGAAAGGAGTGATGGGTGAAGTGTGTCCCACAGGGGAAGCACATCAAGAGTCAAGCTGATGGGGTGGGGTGGGTACCAAGAAGTAGAGCTTGGTGTGCAGAGGAAAGGGTGAACTGGCCAGGTGTGGTGGCTCATGCCTATAATCCTAGCACCTTGGGAGGCTGAGGCAGGAGGACTGCTTGAACCCAGGAGTTTGAGGTTGCTGTGAACTATGATGCCACGGCACTCTACCCAGAGCAACAGAGTGAGATTCCACCACCCAAAAAAGGGGGGAGGTGTGAACATACAACAAGATAGTTTGAGGTGTAGAGAGGAAAATTAGGCAAGCCAGGCAGGCCTGGGTTTTGGCTTCTCAGCAGAGAAGTAGAGCAAAGCAGGGCCCTGCCAAGACTTCCAGATGTGGGAGTGGGGCTGGGGCTGGAGGCGTCTAGACTTTGACAAAGCTTTGTCTTTCAGGTCTTCCATAGTGACTTCGCGGCTCCGACAAGAATATACACTGGGTTACAGGTGTTGGGTATGTTTTCAGGGCTTCATTCCTCTCACACAATGGTAAGCACCAGAATTGCCAGTCTGAATTAGAGAAGGTAGCTCCAGACATAGGACCTCAAGGAAAATCTTTCCCCAAGGATATAAGAATCCAGGGTTCCGTATCTGCCCCTCTCTACTAGACTTAAGTTATCAGAACCAAGCAAGGTTTTGTAATCCTTTACCAAAGGTAACATCAAAAGTTAATTTTAATGGGAGGCAAGTATCTCCAAGCGGAATGAAAAACGGGGACAAAAAGATAAAAGAAAAAAAATAAAAAGAGAAACATAGATGAGAAAAGGGCCATCTTTACTCTTCCCCTTTAGACCTAGTTTTGACAACCATCAGTCTTTGAACATTCCATTATTTAGGCAGCAGAATGGACAAGGACAGATCCTGCCATTGCTATATTAGTGAGGGCTTCACTGGTGCGGCTACAACATAGTGGGAGGTGAGATTACAGGGTACCTGATGTAGCACAATCCAGTCCTGGTTTAGCTGGGGTAGGATGGGGAGGAGTGAGGGAGAGAAAAAACGACCCACACTGAATTTGAGTGCAAAAAATAAATATAAAATTTATTAAAACACCCACAATATTTTAAAGATACCAGGAGTAATACAGTTCACAAACCCAGTTGTTTGTGTAAATTATAATAAGATACAAATCAAAAAAGGATACATACTTGCAATTTCTAGGCACCCTAAAATTAAATTTACTGAAACACTGGGGGAGAAGGGAGGGTCAGGAGGGGTAGCTCAGGAGGCAAACCAATAAAGTAGAAGGAAAAAATATTAACAAAAAGATAAAAATTATACAAAATAAAATTATCAGCATAAATTTACTGTACTAAGAATATCTACAGTTTAATAATACACATCCTATTGCCTTGAGACATTGCAAAAATCTACCATTCATCCATCAACCCCAGATAAACTTCATTTCAAGTAGCCACAGTTTACAAAGTCAAGACGGAATATTCAAGTATGGTTGTTAAGTTCACCTCCATTGGAAGCCAAGTAACCAAACAGGAATTCAAAGAGATAAGAAATAAAACACATCAAAAAACTACAAGGGTTCTAGATTACGTCTAACATATTAATATGCCACTATACGACCTGCCCTTGTTTCTTTAAGTGGAATATATGAAAAAGAAATGACATCACTCCTGTTTTTCTCCCCTTTTCCCCTCAAAAGAAAAAAAAAAAGGTATTGGAACTGATTAAATTTGGAATGTTAAAATGAGCCAATTAGTATTTTAATTTAAATCTCCATGTGAAGAGTGATGAGTTACCCCTGAATGTGGGTAGTCAAAATGAGAGGAGGGAGCAAAAAATACTACAAAAAGCATCCCTGATATCAGAATAGAAGCAAATGAGGAAGTAGGCCAAATTGCTTGCGGATTCTTAGGCAAAAAAGCAACTTTAGACCTTGCATTTCTGTGCAGTGGTCTCTGCTCAGGGAGAAGCCTATTGCTCTGCTCTCGCCAGCAGCTCTACAGGAGGAAGGGCTGGGAGCACCAGAGAGGGGCCCCCTGCACCTGTGGAGAAAGCTCTCTATGCACTCATGGGTGTAGGGCTGTATAACCTATGCCGGGGGTATGCACCTCAAAATCATTATTTTGGTCCAGAGTATACTGAAGTTGGCCGTGTCCTACAGCAGATGCAGCTGGCTAATGAAACTAGGTTCTGAGGGAGTCACTTAAAATGACAGCAACAATGACTGAGAAAGCTCAACGAGATGGGCATAAGAAATTCACATTTTATCCAAAAGCCAAGAGTTAAAAAGAAAATTAAAGAGTCAATCATGCTTCTTCCTTTAGGCGTTCTGCCATTTTAACTGCTGAAGAATGAAAAATAAAACCACCCCAAATTCTTTTAAGGTCAAGTACGTTCACCAAAGGGACAACCTACAGGTCTCAGACCCTCATGTAATCTACTTTACTGAAGTTGTCACAATGTCCTGTTTTTGAGGTATTTAAAAAAAAATTATTGTGACAGTGGATGACACAAAATGGAGCTTCCTGTTGAGTTTTTAAAATAACTTCTGTGGACCCAAGAAGAACTTTAGATTAGCACCAACTAAAAAGCAGCCTCAGTGGTATTGAGTGCGCAAAGAAAACTCCTTCCTTGAGTCTGACTGAACACAAGGGGTTACCAACAAGAGGCAGAAACAAACGCACGCTGGGTTATGGGCTGTGAGGAGCAAAGAAGTGAAGCCCCTGGCTGCCGTGCTCCTGGCCGGTGCCAGGCAAGGAAGGGCACCTCCCTGGTTTCCTTTGGCATACCCTTGGGACCCCCAGAGATGTCCGCTTAGCACCCTGGGCCACAGGGGGGAAATGTGTGTCCCTGGCTAGGAGAATGCCTGCCATGCTAGAAGAGTTGACAGTACCCAACTCTCCTTCCTGAAAACAAGAAAACTAAACCCTCAAAATCCCTCCACCCTTTCTTTCTCATTGGGCTTTAGAAGACAAATATGAAATAAAAGCACCTGCCAAGCCAGGCCCCGGCCCACTTCCATCCATAGCAAGGGAGCTAGCTGCCTTCTCAACTTGCCTAGCTTTGTTTGGCCACCAAGGGAAGAACAATAACACAAAACAAAAAGCTGCTCAGAGCAGATTACAGCACGGTAAACAGGTCTAAAAAGACAGCACCAAAAGGGGGGGGGGAGGGAGCCAAGAGAGACTGGAGCCCACCTTGTTTTTGGTTGGTTGTGGTTTCAGAACGTTGATAGCACCTCAGCAAGACAGGACCAGGGACAGTCACATTAAAACACCATAGCACCATTTTATTTAGACTATTTCAATTCATAAAAATGCTTCCTAGTCCATAAAACACACTTCAGTAACAAAAGGAAAGAGACATTGGTTGAGGCACGTCAGGGATATCGTATAGTTTTCCACCAGCTTTGCCTTGGTTTGAGATCTCGTGGTGGTTAGTTAAACTTGAAAGTCTGGCTGGATTTCTCTCAATGAAATCAGGTTAGGATCTACTCATCGTCAACCATCCTCTCACATCTACCGCTGTTTGGTACAAAGCAATTAAGCTCTGCTACTGCTGTCGTTGCTTTAGCACTTTAAAATCCCTTGCTCTGCAAACTACTGTTTCCAAAAGAGGCTGGTGGAAGGACCAAGAGGGGGAAGGGTGTAATCTCTTCCCATGCACACCATTGTCATCTTGGTGAGAAGGCAAAGCAATACCCATGAAGCCAAGGTGTGGGAAACTTAGGCCCGCTAAAACCAGACCCAACAACAAAACAAAAAGCAAACACCAAAATCCATGCAACACCTTTAGTTGAGATTTCTGATGGTTAGATAATGGTTTCTTGAGCTAGCACCAGTTATTTTGTGAGAACCTGCTGCAAAGCTATTTTTATTTAAAAAATCTCTTAGCACAGAGCTTTGCAAGTAACTTCCCTTGCATGAAATAGGCAGGGAAAACAAAAAGCAAAAGAGGAACTGAATGTTTGCACTGTGAGTGGATGGTATCCATGGACAGGGCACACTGGGGAGATGACTCTTAAGACTCCATCGTTTTCTGTTGCTATATTACTCCTAAAACTTGGTCATGTTGTTAGGTTCTTTAGTTGCAATGGCTTTATTTTTCTTCTCATGATAAAAATGTCTGTTAATCATCTTCAGGACTTAAAAAATGATAGTGCCAGTAAAAAATAAAAATTTGATTTTTCTCTTTAAGAAACCTTCAGCAGCAAGGGCGAATAAAGAGCTGTGCATAGTTACTTTTTAAATATATGTCTAAAGCATGCTAATTTCAATGACTGAGATTTGAGGTAGGTTATACATGTAGTATGTAAAAATCAGCATGGGCTTGAGCATAGCAACAGCACCACCTAACTCTTGAAACGCCACTGAGGGGCATGGGGACATCCAATGGAGACTGCCTCTTGACTCGCCTCTCAGCAGCCTGTTTGCTAATCCAGAATTTATGAACCAAGGCTGTTTGAGCTGGGGGAGGGACAGACATCGCATGCTTTTAGCTTGTATTGGTTTCTCCTTTCATCTAATGGCTTTGCTACCAAAGGGTGATGAGGGGAAGAATATATTTAACATACATTAGGAAGATTCACACATGCCAAGTATCAGAATCACCTGGGTTACACTCGGGATCTTCCAAACCAACAGCCAACCTGGGGCTTCCACGGGTCATACAGACGGTCACATTCTCCACATGTTTTGTAAAATATTGTATTTCTTGCTTAAGATCATTTAAAATGAAGTTTTCAAGGCACCCCCGCATCTACCTAAGCACGGAGTCAAATGAGACCTGCATAAAAGTACTGATGCGATAAGCAAAATAGCATTTAAAGGACCCAATTTTCCTCAAAACTAGAAAATTAGCATGCTCATTAAAGACTCTGCTTCCTTTAGCTTGTCAGACTGAAGGTCAGAGGTTTTCCTATAAATCTGAGTTCTGAATAATTCTAAATCCTGATAAGCTCTTGGGTATTTATTTCAAAAGCAATAATATTTCATTTTTGTCCTGTAAAATAAATGCAACTTTACAGAATATGGTAAAAGTGGAGGATAGACAAAGCACGTTAAATATTCAGCTACTATTTACAATTTCTCCCACAATCACATGTTAAAACATACTTTTTCTTTTTCAAGTTGCTGTTTAAATCTAGGCAAAAGTGCTTAAAAAAATCTTTCACTATTTACAGTTAAAACCAGACCACATAGATGCTCAGGACTTCTCACAGCAACTCTCCACCAGTGCTTCCAGTTACAGCAAACACCCAGCGGGCCGGTTCTCAGCTCTTACACAAGGCACCTGGAAGCTCAGGAACTTGCCTTTAGCATTGCCATCTGATTGCTAAATTTGATGAAGACCCATCGCTGAATAAGACTGCTCTATAAATACCAGATGTTATCTTAGGGCTTGGTGGTCATTCACTGTGTGGCCACATTTCCCTGTGCATCCTGATGAAGCCCCCCCATTCACCACACACATCCACATGGGTAGCCTGATATCATTTCTGCTAATACCACAGGAAAAACCAACACTCCAAGAAGTTAGACTTTGCTGTAGATGAGTGTTGCTTTCCCCTATCTGGCCCAACCTCTCTTAACAATGTCACAAAAATTAAGCACCACATTCTCATTTCAAAGAACCGAATGAATGCACCAGAATTTTAGAAGGGGCATGTTAAAGTGGGTGGAGAGGGGAGGAAGGAATAAAGAAAATGATCAAATGGAGAAATAAATGGCACCAATTAGGGAGGAACATCATAGCAACCTGCTGAAAAAGTTTGACTCTTGCACTTTAAAACTTTGAAGTATAGGCCCCCTACCCTCACACTGGTAGCATGGAGGGGTGGGCTCAGGTGTGAGGCATGCACCATTGTCCAATGTGGAAATCCAGGAATAAGAATAGATGTGTTAACTGCTATTACACTGGTCCGCTGAGCTCCCCGCAGGATGCAACCTGCCTAAGAGTCAGGAGTCCCAGCACAATACTACAGCACCAGGCTCTGCACAGCGCAGCGCAGAGCACCAGCACCGTGCACAGAGCACCACCATGCACAGAGCACCACTGGCTTTTCACAGCTTGGGTTCAACTTCCTGTTTTTAAAGATACAGTAGCCCTTTTTCAGTATCAGCATAGACTTTGGGGCCTTAAAAAAAATGCCACTAAGACAAATTCCTTCAGCCCAGGATGTACTGACTTGGCAACATGGTGGATGTGGCTTCCAAGAGCCTTTCAACTCCAGCTCCATCATGAGGTGCTGCCTAGTGAACAGACATAGTGTGACTTGGTAAATAACGGACAGAGAGGATTCAGTGTGGAGACTAGCAAGCTTGAAGCTGTCTACTTCCAACCTAGTTTCTGGGGAAATCTACACCAGCATCTCAGAGGCCTGGCCTGGGGTACATCTGCCCCCTACGACTCCAAGCTGGGGACTGGGAAAGGGACCCCAGATATTTTTTCTATAGATTCTCCCATCCTACTGAGAGGACAGAGGCTGTCCTGAGGACTCCCTTCCCTGAAAGGAAGGTGTATCTGTCGGGAGGGTTGGACTGGGTGGCTACAATCTGCACTTGGCTCGTGAGGGGCAGATGGCTGAGAGGACCTCGTCAGCGCCCGAGTGGCTGAGCTCACTGGGCCCAGCAAGGCTGGGCAGGGGTGAGCACTGCTGGCCTTTCCTGCCGATCCTTTACCATTACTATTGTCGCTTTAAAAAATCCAATAAATACACATTTTAAATGGAATTTAAAACTACTCCTTTGTGAAAGGACACTATAAACTTTCTTTTTCCATTATTGTGATATACAAGGATAGAGTTTTAAAAACAAAGAGAAAATAAAATCCCCCCCACACAAATGGGGGAGGAAAAAAAAACTTGGAGATATAAATACTAAGATCACGGAAAAAATCACCCGACAGCCGTAGTTTCTTCTTCAAAGTGCTGGGGATGTGGGGGAAGGGAGGGGCGGGTCAGTTCTGAGGTTTGGACCATAAATACATATATATGATATGCATATCTATATATGTATATATAGATAAAGACTTCTGCACCCCCAACCCGCCCCCAGGTGTAAGGGCAAAAGCACCACAGAGGCAGCTCGGGCCAGGCCCGACGCTGAGGTACGCTGGCTGCCGGCACCTAGATCCAGCGGCTGTAGGGGCCAGTGACCTTTGTGTAGGCATAGGAGGACACGGTGACCGCTGAGTCTGTGGGCATGGCCAGCGCCTGCCGGGTGGGGACAAACCCCTTCTTCTCCTTCTGCTGGGCCTCTGCCACCATGGCACCGCCCCACTTGCGCTTCTTCCCATACAGCTTGGCCTCCTGCTGGCCCAGGCCCAGGCGGGCGGCCTCCTCCTCCCGCTCCCGTGCCCTCTCTGCCAGCTGCTTCATCTTGGCTTCCCAGAGGGCCAGTCCGTGATTAGGCTGGTTGAGGTTTTTGTGCTGGTAGAAGACCAGCGAGATGCGAGTGGGGTGGCAGCGGTTGGGTTTCTTGAGCGGCGTGGTGGCATGCAGTTCCCGGCGGGCACACTCGATGAGGATGGAGCCGTGAGCAGGGGCCACAGCCACACCACCGATGTTCTCGTCCAGGAAATTGTGTTCACTGTCTGACCACAGCTCCTCCTCCTCCTCCTCAGCACCTCCTCCGCTGGCCTTCTCCTCCTTCACTCCTCCCTTGCTAGAGGGCTCCTCAGCTGGCGCCTCCTCTAGGCCAAAGGGATCCCACAGCTTTTCCTCGGACTTTAGGGCCCCAAACAACTTCTCACTGGAGCCCAAGGGCACGCTGAAGGACTGCCAGGCTTTGTTCAGCTGGCTTGCCCCTGGGGTTGGAATCCTTCCCTCCTCTCCTTTCACGGGGTTCCACAACTTGTCTTGGAACCCAGGACCACCTTTCAGAGCAGAATTGAAATCCCCTGCCCCTATCCCCCATGGCTTCTCAGTCAGGCTGGGCCCAGTCAAGGCCGAGGTGTTGTTCCCAAACTTGCAGGGGCTCCATGGTTTACCTCGCAGCTGTCCTCCAGGATGGGGCGATGACTGCTGCCTGTCACCAGAGAACAGCCCCCACTGGCCATCTGAGAAGTGGGAAGGGGTCAGGCAGCTGGCCCCAAAGGAACTGAGCTTGTCAGGGACAATGGCAGGGCTCTCCCCAGAAGGGAACACGGCCCAGCTGCCACCCACACTGTTAGTCCTCTTAGGGGATAGGCTTGGGCCTCCTGCGTACTGTCCCCATAGGTGACTGGGGCCCCCATTCTGAGATGCCTCGGGCAGAGGTGTTTTGCCCATCTTACCAGGGTCTCTGGGCACAGATTCAGCTTGGATCAATGGATCTACTGGCTCTTGCTTGATGGATCTGTGGTAGCAGTTGGAGCTCTGAGCAAAGGGAGAAGGGTCCCTGGACACTGGGTGGATCTGGGGGGGCTTGGGAAGCAGATACTCCTTGGGGCCTGAATAAGCAGGCTGCTGGTGGTGAGGAGAGGGGTGGTGGGTGTCCGTGGGAACAGCCTGGCTGGGCAGCTCGGCAAACTCAGCACCACTGTAGGCCGGGCTCAGGCTGTTGTGCAGAGCATGGAGGTCTGGCTTCTTCTCAAAACTACCACTGCTGCCACTATGCCCCCAGGCACCAGGACCCAGGAACTGAGAAGGGTAGATGGGGTTGCTGGATGGGAAGCTGTAGTAGCCAAACGATGGGAGAGTATACTTGGAGTGGAACCCGTTGACGGGGGTCAGGCTGGGCTGTGCATAGTAGGAGTGGTAGGAATACACGCTGTTCATGCTGTATGGGTCGGAGGGCCGGCAGTTGCCCAGCACCGAGTAGCTCTCCACCACTGCGTTGCCACTGTACTTGAAGGAGCTAAAGTGGTTCTGCGGCTCTACCTTGAGGGAGGGCTTCAGGCTTTGCTGGGACAATCCACCCTTCAGAGATAAGCCTGGGGAAAAAAGAAGGCAAGCTGGCGAAGGAGCAGCAAACCCCATAGCAGAGGACTAGGGATAGAATGCCCTCTTTCTTTGAGGAGTTTCCTCTTTGGAGATAGGCAGGGCAGGCGAAGTGCCAAGGTGACGCCCAAGTCTCAGCCTGGACTTACTCCCTGGGTGCCAACAGTACAGGCCCACCCCATCCATAGCCCTCCTCCTCTGGATCCCCCTTTACCAATGCCAGTGGTTCTCATTGAAGGATTCCCACCCCCAACCCCAGCCTCTTGGTAGAGATCACTGCAGGGATGGACCTGGAGAATGGGAACTCAAGACACCCGACACATCCCCCACATGCCCTGAAGGAGAGGCTCAGCACTGCTCCTCCACCAAGCTCAGGTCCTTCCAAACACCGAGCCCTCTCTGTACTTGCTTCCCCAAGTGCCTCCCACCAGGTATGGGATCCTTTCTGACCTGCAGGTACCTTTCTCACTGACATAGCAAGCAGAAGTCCCAATTCCTGACATAAGGTGGGAAATGAGGGTAGGGTAGGTGGATGCCCTCCCCACACACACCTGGATCGGTTGGGACACCTGCCAGCTCTAGGGCCTCCTGCTTGATCTTTTCAGGAGTGCTCAGCTTCTCCTTCTGAAGCTTCTTCTTCTCAGCTGCTGCCTTCCTGGCTTCTAGCTGCCGCTGGCGACAAGACTTGGCAGGCTCAGGCAGGCGCCGGACCTCGCGGGGGAAGGAGGTGAGCACCTGGATGGCTCCGCTGTCCACCTTGGCATTCTGGTTCTCCTCGCTGCCAAACTCATCGGTGTTGGCCATCTTGTACAGGGGGAGGACATGCAGTTGCTCATCTTCAGGGATCTTGCCCACACAGCGATTATCCTCCTTGGTCAAGGTACAGACCTGTTCCACGCAGGGTAGGGAGAGGACACAGGAATTGGGGGACTGAGTGCTGGGAGGGAGGCCTCTGAGCACCCCAAATACACAACCTTGTCTTTCCCCCCATGGTCTCAATGCCAGCTAGCTCTGACGTTCCCCACTATTCCTACCTAGACTTTCTGTAAGCACATATATCTTTGCTCAGGGAGGAGCAGCATCACCAGCTTTCAGAGTGTGTTCTCCACCTTCCTATGCACATCATTCCATACAATCCCAGCAGGGCTGGGGCCATCAGGCCTGCCCTGCTCTCTGGTACAGAACTACTGCCACTCATGACACCTCATGGGGCCCTCAGATCTTCTACCATGAACCTCCTAGTTCTCAAACTCTGCTTGCTTCCTTTTGCTCTTAAAATATTTTTCTTTTTATTAGAAACTATGTGTTGGGTGTAGAAAATTTAGGCAAGCAAAAAGAAAACAAAAATTGTTTCTTTAATCTCTACTACCCAGAAATTATCACTGTAAAACCTAGGGCCATATATTCATACTTAAGTACATAATTATCTTCTGGTAAATTCAAAGGATATTATGCATATGGTTATTTGTTAATAAATTCACTTTTTCTCAACATAGTATATTTCCTTGAGCCATAAATATTCTCCCCAATGTGATATAAAAGCTGTGCAAACAATTCTATATTGGTGTGTTAGCTTACTTAATCAATTATTAAATATTTCAAACTCATTTCCAATTTTTTCCCACCCTAATACCTTTTGAAATATCTTTTAACTAAATTTTCTAAGATGCTTAATTCCACAGGATAAATTCTGTGAAGTAGAACTGCCACATACTGCCAAAGCCCTCGAAAATGAGTTGGTTTTTCACTCATACCAGCAGAATCTGAGTTTCAACTTTCCTATTATTTTTGCCTATAGTTTTTTTTGTTTTGCTTTTTTAAGACAGAGCCTCAAGCTGTCGCCCTGGGTAGAATGGCCATGGCATCACAGCTCACAGCAACCCCCAACTCCTGGGCTTAAGTGATTCTCTTGCCTCAACCTCCCAAGAGGCTGGGACTACAGGCACCCACCACAACATCCGGCTATTTTTTGGTTGTAGTTGTCATTGTTGTTTGGCAGGCCCAGGCTTGATTTGAACCCACCAGCTCTGGTGTATGTGGCTGTGCCTTAGGTGCTTGAGCTATAGGCGCCAAACCAGTTTTTGCTCAGTATTAAAATCTATCTTATCGGTATGTATTTTTCAATCAGGTTTGCTTTTTTCCAACTTTACCCTCCACTCTACTTTTGTATTCACTATTTTCTTTTCTTTCTTTTTTTAAATTTTGAGATAGGGTCTCACTCTGTCACCTAGGCAGTAGTGGCAGAGCAGTCATCACAGCTCCAATTCTTACCCTCAAGTGGTTTTCCTAAAGAACTAAGATTACAGGTGTGAGCCTAAATTTTCTACATTCTTGATGGTCTGGCATTTGGGATCTTGATTAATCCTCTCCGGGCTAGTTAATTCACAAAGATAGTACACCTCTGATACATGATTGACTGTCCATACCCCCAGTCATTTCCTTCATCAAACACAAATAATAACCCCCTACCCCAAATCACCCCAGGTCCAGGTACTTAGCAATTAGAAACCACCCACTGCCTGAAACATTCTTCCCACAAAAACCCAATGAAGACTCCAAGGGTGGGAAGGAGACTCTGGGCCATGCTCTCCGCTCTTCTTCAGCCTCCTGACCAACCCAGGTGCCTCCCAAGTCTCCCCCAACCCCTAGAGTAGCACCCGTGCCTCCTGTTTCTAGAGATCTGTAAGTATAAACTTCTTCCTTCATGACAATCATTCTGGGTCTGCATATCTTACCAAACCTGATTAAAACAAATCCTTGGTATACTTTAATACAACTGTCTTCCTTCTTTGGTAAGTTATATATGCCTTTGCCCATTTTCATACAATACTTTTTATCATTTATTTATCTTTATATTTATCTTTGTATATTATCATTCCCTTGTAATTCGTTGGAAATATTGCAGCAATTGGAGCTCTGTGCACTGCTAGCCACAGTTAGCACACGCATCCAGACACCTGAACGCATGCGCAGGTGTGCACATATAAGCTAGACAAAATCCCACACATCCTACATACATGCTGTTCCATGACCTGTTTTTCTTTATTCAAAGATAGCTCAAGTTACTCAATTTGTATTAGCCTTTTGATTGTGGTGTTTTATCATTAAATAGAACTTTACATTTTTATAGCACCAACTTTACTATCTATCACTTGGAGTTCTTCCTTTGCTGATGGCTCTATTCATCACATTTCTTTCCACAGTACGCATGGGTATTCAACTTAATTTGCTATGACTAAACTCTTGTGTACTTTCTGGGTTGGACTAGCCTTCAGCACTGCTTCTTACCATTCTCTAAGACCCAGTGCCATAAACAATGGACTAAAGGTAAAATGCAAAAGATAAGGTAGAAATTGTATTTCTATCCCTAACTTATAAAAGATACCTTACAAATGTCAAAAGATATGGCCATCTCAACTAAAAAAAGAATCACCAAGAGACATCAATAGGATATTCACAAAGATGAAATTAAAATAGGCAAGAAAATAGAAAAAAGATGTTCAATCTTTCTAGTAATTTAAAAAAATTAAAATGAGATATGTTTTGGCAATTAGGTGGGCAAAGACTAAAAAGACTAACAAAATCCACTTTTTGCAAGTAAGCAGGAGAATTAGGACACTAAGCTTGTAAGTGTTCAGTATAATCTCAAGGTCTCAAGGAGGTTATTACCCAAAGATATAATAAGGGCGGACCCTCCTACTTCATAGAACAGAAATGTCTACAAGTGCTTACTGTCCATCAACACAGGACTGGTTAAATGATAGATATATGTATGCATATACATACATGTAGCCTCATAAAATTAAGTCTATATCCATTGACAAAGAACACCTGAGTTACCCATGAGTTAAGAAAAGGTCAGAGAACAGTATGCATATATGATGTGATCCCATTTTGTAAAAAACATTATATAGCCATACCCGAGTACACACATGCTGGTATGAATGGATGGTCATCAAACTGCTAACAGTAGTGTGGCATTACCCTAGCTGACAGCAATCTCAAACTCCTGAGTTCAAATGATCCTTCTGCCTCAGCCTCCTGAGTAGCTGTGACTACAGATACCAACAACACCTGGCTAATTTTTCTGTTTTTAGGTACAGATGGGGGTCTCTACTCCTGGTCTCAAATCTCTTGTGTTAGGTTCTCAGAGTGCAAGGATTGTTAAGTGTGAGCCACCATGCATAAATGTTATTTGATTTAAGACAGGTTCTCACTCTGTTCTTCTGTTCCTACAAGAGTGCAGTGGCATCATCATAGCTTCACTGCAGCCTTTAACTCCTGAGCAGAAGTGATCCCCCCTGTGTGAGTCTCCTGAGTAGCTTGAAACTACAGATGCATGTCACCACACCCAGGTGTTTTTGTTTTTTATAGAGACAGAGCCTGGCTATGTTGCTTAGGCTGGTCTTGAACACCTAGATTCAAGCAATCTTACTGCCTTAGCCTGCCAACATTCTGGGAATAAGGCTTGAATCCCTTGAATAGGCACTTAGCCTATTTTTTATATTATTAATTTTTTACAATGAATAGTTATTGTTTAATTAGAAAAATGTTTTTCATTTTTGGAAAACAATTTTTTTCTTTTTACTCTAGAAACTCTAGAATCCAAATCCCCCTCCTTCCCTGCGTCTCTAGCCCTTGAAGCCCTGCCCTTCCTGTATATTTCAGCTAGAAACCCTCACACTGGAGGGCAGGCACTGCCTGCTGCTTCTCTGACTTGGGCATGGAGATGGAAGACAGGTGGAGAAAGGAAATCCTGGGGAGGGGGCCAGGATCAGGAGCTAAAACCTTTTCAGATGTGCTGCTGTCCTGGCCTCTCGTTCAGCCACAGACAGACCTGTCTGCTCAGAACCTAACTAAAGAGTAGGCCAGAGCACTGTACCTTCCAGGACACCCCGCTAAGCCCTGACCTCTCTGCAATATACACACACACAATCCTGGCGATCACGCCCAGACTCATCATCTACCTGTGAACTCTGCTCTCCACATCCTCCCTCACCCCTGCCTACACCTCTAGCAGGCATATCAAAATAGAATTCTTGATTTTTCACCCTGCTGGCCTTTCTGCGTTATACATCTCAGAAAATGCTCCCAACACTTGTCCACTTTTTCAAGCAAAAAACCCTGGCAAGGTCCTCTAGTCTTCTCTCTCCCATCTCTTACGGAGCCCACCAGCAAGTCCTCTAAGGTGTCCTTTCAAAATCATCTGACATCTGTTCCATTACACACCGGCGAGTCCTGCCTGGGCCCTGTCACCTTTGGCCTGAATGCCTGCCTACCTCCTCCTAACTTTCTCTTTCCGCCTATTCTCTCCCCTTTGCCCCACACCCATCATCAC